GTGTATTTAAAAATTTCGGCTTGTGGTCCCCACCTCCTAACGTGAGTGGGGTGTAAAAGATTTGGTAGAAAATTTCGGTACATGTAGCATAACCTATTAAACAATGACTAATGTTATTCTTCCCCACTGGGATTACAAACACAGTTTAGGTAGCGTTAATGTGTCATTAAATGATAGGTGAAACACCTTTCATTTAACCTATCATTTAGAGCCATCTAAACTTTATTTGTAACCCCACTGAAAATAAATAACATTACTCTTAAACAATTGTTCTGAAAAAGTCGGAATGAGAAAGGGGACCAATATCAGACTGGGAGACAAGTGCACGAGTTTTTGCTGAAAGCTAAAGCTTAAATAATAAAGATCGAATAATCAATCAAAGTGGGTGGTGGATTCTGAAAAGTTTCATTTGTTACCGACCCAGTTTCACGTGTCCCAGAATACCACGACCATCATGTCCTTGGCAATGTTATTTGGTTACAACTATGAAGAACCCCACACACACACACACCAAGCATTTTCAATCTTTTTGTCTGGATTAGAGGTCTACTTGGCAGAACTTATGTTTTGACGTCTACTTCGTGTAGAAGAATTTCTTGAAGAAGGCATCTTAGGCTAACTTCTTCTAGAAATATGTTCAATAACAATTTCTTCAGAGTGCTCTTGAGACTCTTGCTTTGCAGAGTGCTCTTGCTCTCTTCGAAAAGATCCTGAAGTTTAGACAATGCCGCCACTCTCTCTTCGGGGGTGCTCAAGTGCAGTTTGAGTAGGCTGAGTTATTGTCGGGTTTCAAGTGAATTTAAACCGTGATTTTAAACCATGAGTTTGGATTCAAGTGAATTAGGTTTTGACCATTTAAAAAATGAACTAATTTTAAAAATAATAACTAATTTTACTAATCTTCGACTTTGACTTAAAATTAAAATAATATTCATTTGAAATGTACCTATTTACATAAGTAAATAGCCAAAACTTTCTTTTAAGTAAACATAAGTAATTAAGTTACTTGTTTTAACTTTGACTTAAAAAATAATATTCATTTTTAAAATTTGCTTAGTAAATAAGTAAATAGTCAGACATGAACACCATCAATTGTTTTAGATGCTAAGAGAGGAAATCAATGAGAAAGTGCTACAAAATGTTGTGCGAAGAATGTTTTTAAAACAATGTAGCGTCATATTATGATTCCCAAGCAACCCATGAATGCCATTCGATTCCCTCATTTCCCATCACGATGTATTAAACGTGACCTTGAATTATTGAGAACGATTCAAGAAATGCAGATGTCATTGAATTTCTTGACAACTATGGTAGATGGGCCGGTCTAGCACTGCTTGGTGGACTGTCGAAGAAGGGAGCTCGAGATCAAGATGGTGGATTTTGGGCTAAGCCCATTCCTGGTGACATTCAGCAGATTGGCGTTCAAGTATATGATGAAAAACCGGTCCATACTTGTAGTTAACAGAACGTCGACGGTCCGCTCTAGACGGCCCCACATTGGACCGAACCAAATTTCTCAAACTCGTCCCACTTTTTTATTTTTTATTTTTCAAATAAAATCGTATATAAATATAATATTAGTAAATAAAAAACATGACCACAAATGGAAATTTTTTAACTCTCAACATGCTCCCACCCTACCTCCAAATATCCTCATTATCGTTCCCACCCCTCACTGTCGATGTCTATTGAGCATGGCTCGTGCCTAACTATCGAGCTTGACCTATGTGTCACGCCATATCTTGAAGATCCTGACAAGGTTTTTAGGACCTTTGACATTGTGTAATTCAAACCTCCATATATAATATTATGTGGCATATGAGAAGTGTTTGGAAAGTTTCAGGTCAATAAGCAATTTTTAAAATTTTTCTAAGGACCAAATCCAAAATAATGAAAATATCCCATTGGACAGTAACACTTCTTGCCCAAGAACACGGCAAAACAAGGGTAACAACATAGCAAAAAAGTCAAAAACCAAAGACAACAGCCAAATATGAAAAGGTTACAAGCATAAAAAACATCAAGAGAGACTGAGACATTGACCATACAAAATCAACACTCACATGACAGCATGTGCACTCACGTTACATGTCAACTTGTTTCGCCAGCTAAAAAATGATTAAACTGGAATCTTGGCTAAATTAATATAACAAAGCCAAGACTATGAACAATCCAATGGCTCAAATGTGATCTATGCAACACTATTGCACAAGGTGCCAATCTGATGCGGTGACTGAATAAACGTCATTTGAAGGAAAAGAACTAATGAGTCCCATAGTATGACCTCACTGAAACACAAAAACAAAGGAGCACATCCTTTGGGCCCAACAGCTATCCACTATCGAGACACAAATAAAAGCTACACATAAAATTCCAGGAATCACTCCACCATTCTGGCCCATTGTGGTGGACATAAACTTTTTCTCATGTCTTTTCTCCTTTCCCAAGTTTATTGATAAAAATGCAACCACTGTCCGATGAATTCCAAGTCACAGATATATTAATACACGAGGATAAATAAATTCCGGATCCAGCCGTCATACCGTCAGCAAAATAACTTGTCAAAATATTCATGCTCACATTACTTTCCACGTTTACACTTTATCATACAGTAGTAAATAGAGTATATAACACTAGGAAGAAATTTAGATCTTAATTTCTCATTTTCAATTTTTTCCTGAGAGGAGGGGGTAGGGCTGGGGCTGGGGTTGGATTTCACAGTGTATATCTTGTACTGGTCTTCAATTATACAACATCGAATACCACTAAACTGGGTTGCAGGGATAATTTATTACCTAACGCTATTGATGACATTGTTGCTGGTACGAGTCAAAGTTGTCAGAATTTCAGAGAATTGAGGACGTTTTGAAGGGCAATTGTTCCAGCACTTGATCATCAAAGATCTCAGGATTTGAGGGCAGTCCTTCGGAATTTCAGGTCTAAGCCCGCATGCAGCTATTCCGACAGCGGCCTGCACTGGTGAATAAGCCGAATAAGCAACCTCACCAGTAACCATCTCCCAGAGCGTCATCCCAAAACTATAGGCATTACTCATCCATGTCTCTGTAACATTTTCTGGATCACCTGCAATTATCTGTTACGACTAAGGACAAGTTAGAGAAGCCAGCCTCGTTGCAATTTATCATGAAGGAAGTTGGTACGCAGATTAGATTGGGAAGAAGAGGCTAAAAGTAACATGATAAATAACAAATTGCATCCCCTATCGAAAACAGAAAAGATTATCAGTGCAGTAGACAGATAACTTCACTTGAATTAATAAATTGTGGAAAGTAGATTTAATTTGCCCCGGCAAATTCATTAAGCATTCAGTTAAAGCATTTAAATTGTTACAGTAAAACCTCAAACTCTGCCCTCTCTGTTGGAATTTCATCCACAAAACCAAGAACTAATAGAATTGTTGATGTCACGGCACCAAGAAAGAAGAATGTAATTAACGGTTTGAAAAGGAGGGCTAGGTCTAGCAAAGGATTGAGTCATTTTCTTTTGGATCTGCTACTTGACTGTATTCTGTTACAGGTTTGCCAAGCGCTTTTAGTGCAGTGGACAGATGACATATTTCACTTGAATTGGAAAAACTTCGAAAAGTAGATATAATTTGTACCAGCGTACTGGTTAAGAATTCAGTTCAAGTGTTAAAATGGTTACAGTAAAACCTCACATTCTAAATAGAAACACCTCACTAATAACATATGCTAAAAAGTTGAGCAGATAATATTCCTATTTATAATTTCAACTACCCATCCCCACCCAAATCAAACAATGCAATACTAAAAATAGTGACACTAAGTCTCCTAAAAAAAACCCTCACCCACACCAGCACCACAATCACCAAGAAAGGGACAAGTAATTTTAAAGGAACTGAAATGTTCACTAAGTGGGCTCCAGTGACTAGAAAGATTTCATGAAATTGCGTCAAATTACAAATAGGATGAAGCCAATTCTATTTTGTTTATTATTCCATTAGGTTGTTCCACAGGTAGAACTAAAGCAGGAATCCAAAAAAGCATAAAGCAATGAAATAAAGCAAACACGTTAGGCACGCCAAAATAATGATGATGGGATGTAATCAAGACAAAGACTTGAGATCCCAGCTAAACTACAAAGAATTTAAGTGGTATACTTGAGAGCATACAGTTTAAGCCAGATACTTTTTCCATTATTCTTATCTTAATTTTTTCTTTTTTATTTGAACTGTCAAGAGAAACAATATTGCTATAAAGTTATCCAGCTACTATTACAATTAATAGTGACCAATTAAAAAATTAAATCATATTAACTTTGTCATGACAGATCATTAAACAGTCTGTTTGCAAACATTACAAGAGAAACACTTTATGCTGATATTAGAAATATAAGAGTCAAAATCAGTTTCAAATTAATTAAACTATCTCAAAAGAAACAACCACTGGTTGGTAGTATACAAGTCATATGGATTCTGCTTGATAGTTTGGAAGGAAAAACAGTTCATCTATGATATCTAGATACAAAAAACATTGCTCTTCTAAAATTATACGACATGGACGTCTGAGAAGATGAGAACAACGGAAGCCAAATGTTTAAAAATTCAGTGAGTGAAACAAATGGAGACGAAAATGTATTCAAGCATTTAAAGATTACAATTTTTTCAGTAAAGTCAAGGATCAGCAATTCTATAAATTCCTTCACAGCGCAATAATTGGTATGATTGAGTGCCTCGACGCAGAAATGCAGAATTCAATGTGCATCAACAAATAATAACATAGTGAAAATATGTCAAACGGAAAATAAGTGAAAGGAAGGGAACAAACCTCAGGAGCCAGCCACCTATATCCGTCAGTTTCATACTCCATAGCCTCACCAACATTGTTGCAAGCAACAACAATTCCCATATCCCCTAAGCATGCATTCCCACGTTTATCCAATAAGATCCTCTGAGTATTCAAATCTCTGTATGAAACACCATGATCATTCATGAACTTAATTCCCTCCACCACATCAGTTGCAATCCTTAAAATCTCTTTAGTTTGAAGCCTTTTGTTCTTCATAATCAAGTCATGAACAGATCCACCATCCATTAACTTAGTCACGACACACAACCCTTGATTCTCATCAATGAACACCCCGTAAAACTGTAAGATATTCTTATGCCCACAAGTCATCAACTCCAACAAATCTTGTCTTAGCTCAAATTCATATGCATTTCCTTTATCACACCCCTTGAGCTTCTCAATGCCAACTTTTTTACCCCTATAAACGCCCTTAAATGTACTCGGTCCAGTCTGATCAATAATTTCAACACTATCACAATTCAACAACCACTTCCCAATCCCATCCTTACCAGAAATCACAGTCTGCCATTCATTGACCGAAACCACAATTAAATCATTAGGCAAAGGCTTTTGTAACTGAATCTTCGGGTCTAGAGTCTCAACCCCATTTCTACTATTCTGATCGCCATAATCCTCTGGAATCTCTCCAAGCTCTCTCCCTCTGGTACTCTCTTGTTGGCACCCGCAAAGCCCAAACGGGAGCTTAATGGAATTAGTCTTCGGCTTCTTCAAAGCCGATTTAAGGGCATTTCCGATTTGGGTTTTGAACACCGTTTCCTGCCCTGACTGAACCAATAGCAAAACTGTTCCCAATGTGAATCCTTTCTTCTCAAAGATCTGCAATTTTTTACAGCAAATCGAAGCATTGTCAAGGGCCCCAGACATGGATGACCACGAAACTGCCGAATTACATGCAAATGTCAGCTTGAACACACACCCGTTCACTTCATCACTAGACACATCTTGTATCATTATTGCTGGATGGTCCTCCGCTAATGCTTGCTCTATTAATTTTATATGTAAAAACACATCCTTCATTTCAAATCCCGCTTGAGCATAACTATCAATAAACAAAAACCAGTAATTATAACAGAATGCTTATAATTAATTATGAGCAAAAGCAAGAAGAGAAATCAAATCACTGAACCTGAGGGGTAAAGAATCGTAATGCTTGCGAAGATTGGACACCAATTTTTCGGGGAGTTGACTACCAGGGTACAACTGAGTCAAGCTTCGTACAACACTGCTCCACACATGTTTCCGGCAAGCCTCGGTCTGTCCGCTCGGGCTCGAAACTGGCGGGTCTCGGGCCGAGTCGAGATTTAAAGTGTTTTTGAGAGAGGCAATGGCCTCGGAGACATTGCGGCCAAGCCTCTGGAACCGCTTCTGCATGGCGGAGGAGTCTTTGAAAGCTGCGGCGGAGGAGGAGGTGGTGGCAGAGGAGGATGAAAGGTTGTTCTCCGGTGGGCATTCGGATCTGTCTTGGGTTCGCATTAAAACTTGCTCCACCATATCCTCGTCAGTGCTAGTTCGACTTGACCAGCATTCCAAAGCCGCCGCCATGGCTATAAGAGAACGAGTAAAATGTGGACTCGGCTCAAAATATGGCTGAATTAACACCGATTCGAGGGCGAGTTGAACTGAGTCAGTCTATTGTACTCTGAAAAAGCAACATGGAGAGTGTGTGTAACGAATTATAAATAGTGTGGGGGCGGAATAAAGAGTGGCGAAAACCACGATGTATAATCATGAAGTAATAGCGGGTTAAAATCTCAATTTAAATAACGTTAACCAAGTACTAAATCATAGGTGAAACTTACCAGTTATTTCACATTTCATTTAACTTATTATTTAAATGGACAATACTCATTATCATGGGACGGAAAATAATTTAAATTTGAGTAATACTGACGTCAATATAGGTAACAATATTAATGACACTGAATTATATGTTCAATTAAATGTATCACAGAATTTCACTTTTAAATGAACATATTATGTAATGTCATATAAATTGTGGTCTAGCACCATTGGTGTTATATCACATTATTCTTTACATTTCAGACGATATCAAATTACTTGTTGGATTTTCTTGGAATGCTCATTAAAATCTCAAAATATGTTGAGTCCAAAACTTACCCCTCTTGTGTAACTATGAATTCAAAAGTTCTACTGGATTGAAAATGCACACTTGTAATGATCATTTACTCAAGCCACGACATTCTAAATGTCGATTGGATAAGAGAGAGATACGATGAATGGAAGGACCTACTCGACATTCAAAATATCATGACTAACATGATTTGATATACAATTTATCTTAATTGAATAGACGTTATTATTACGTGTATACTAAGTTTTTTCTTGAATATGGCATATAGGAAATGTGATGTGTCAATTATGTAAAATCAAGTTTTGATTCAATGGAAGTGTTAGAATATAGTTTTGCTACAGTGACAGCATAAAAAAGGAGGATACGTGGTGCAACATCATTGGATAGTTAGAGAAAAAAATTCATACAATTATTGTCAACGCAACACTTGTCGCGGTTCCTTTTTTTTAATCGCATTATTGGTTAGAATAATAATATAATAATAATAACCATTTTCAAAATTACACCCCTTTTTTCTTCATAATTTTACTGAGCAGAGAGTCAAACTTGCCAACACCTCGTTAAAGGTGTCCGATGATATCATGATAAGGTGATTTGGGAAGATTTGCCAACGTTGTTCTTTGTTTTCTTTCTTCTATTTCTTCCAAAAACACATTCAACATTTTGCGTGTAAAATTACAAATTAAACCACTCATGGAAATGGGTGAATTTTAACCCCTAGTGGCTGAACTTTACTTATAATTAAGTTACTGAACTTTAATTTGGAGCAATCCTACCACTATATTTTAATTTGAAAGCAATTAGATCATTTCGTTAACGTTTCATTTAACCAATTAATGGAACGAGTGACGTGGCTTTTAAAAGTAAGGAAATCTCCACGTGTTTTGCCAAGTCAGCAAAATATATTTCACACGTGATCGCTTGCAATCAAGTCGTTGAAGTTTAAATTCAAAGCTAGATAACGATATTGAATTTTAATTTCGAGAATCTAAAATTTTATTTTTAATTTTTATTATTATTTAAATTATTTTAAGACCATTAAATAAATAAAATAATACGTAACAAACAATTATAAATTATAAATATTATAATTAATTGATAATTTCTACGACAAGAAAAAAAACTAGACATTTTGAAAGTTTTCAACTAGTTTCTACATGAAGTGCCCTGTATATTATTTCATATTTAACATTAATTATAAATCAATATATTTTTAGATAATTTATATATTAGAGTACGTTTGATTGACTTAATTTTTCATGGAAAGTGTCTTTTTTTAAAAAAAAACCCAAATTCCTATTTTTTAGATGTTTGATTGACAATTCTTTTCATAAGAAATATTTTTTTAACTTTTGTTAATGTGATCATAATTGTCTCAAATATAATGAAAATATTTTCCTTGGGGAGGGGTGGTTTTTATTTTTCAGGTAATTCACTCTCTTTTTCTCATCTCTTTTATTTACCCACTAATAAAATATGGACAAGTTTAATATTTTCTAAGTGAAAAACTAAATCAATCAAATATATCTAATTAATAATTTTCATAGAAATAAGTTATATGCAATTGAATCACTTAAAAACTATTTTCTTTTTATACAAATTTCTTATTCGCAATTAAACGCATCCAATGTAAAATTTATGTAACAATATTTTTAGTGGAAATTACAATAGACCAGAATTTTTAACTTCAAATTTCAAATTAAGATTTATTAGTTTTCTTTTTTAAAATCAAATGATAAATTATATTTTTAATATTAATAATTATATTACAAAATATTTAATTCACCACAGCTAATCTATGCCCAACCACCCACACAAAACCCTAATTATTTTCATCATCTCTATTATCTCACTTCTCTCTCTATTCCACCAGAAGCTGTCGCTAGAAGCCATTGTCGAAGAGTGTCGCTGACCACATTACTATTCGATATGTCGTTGTTGCCGCACGATTATCATCTACTGTTAAGCGTTCCTCCTCTTGCTCCATCCCAGATTTTTTTTTATTCTGATTTTGTTGGTCTATGTTTTTTAATGTGGTTCAATTGTGGTGTGATGTGGGTGTGAGGTGTGTAATGTTGGTGGTAATGTGCGATGGTGGTGATGTGCGATGCGAGGTGGTGGTGGTGGTGGTGTGCGTTGGGGAGAGTGTGTCCATTTCTTTGGATGGTCATGGTGGTGCGGGTAATGGTGTTCGACGGCGATGTATATGGTGTTCGACGACGATGGAGATGGTGTTCGATAGTGTAGTGGTGCAGTCGAGGTGTTCGACAATGGTAAAGATGGTGTAGATGTTGGGTGCAGCTGATTGTGGTCGACGATGGAGCGTAGATGGTGGTCACGGCAGTGGTGGCATTGACGGTAATGGATTTGGAGAAAGATGGTTGTGGTGTTTAGTGTAGACGACGACGGCGATGGTGGCCGATACAGGCAGTCGTCGCAGTGGTATTTGGGGATGGTGTTGGCTGTTGTTATTGCATTGATGTTGGCAGTGGTGCTACTGGAGGTAGTGGTGAGATGGTGGTGGTCACAAATTGTTTTTGTTGATTGTGCCAATAAAAAATACATAATTAATGAAATAGATAAATTGTGACCAATAAATAATGTGATCTAAAAATTTGTTAAGCTACAACCAACAATTTGATAATGTGTGATCTAAAAATAATTTGTGGGCAATTAATTTGATATTTTGTGACCATAAAATAAGTTGACTAGTAAAATTTTTGATTCGTAACAAAAAAAAAAAAAATGTGACCAATTAATTTATGGGGCACTTACAGAAATACCTTATATTTTGGGGCACGTTTGAAAAATCATGACGAACTTGGAGTAAGTAATAATTATATATAATTTCACGTAAAAAATACGGCCCCAGCAAGAAACAACAAGAAAGGAAGAAGAAGAAGAAATCTTCCACGAATACAGGGTCGGCTCCACCAAACGCAATTCCGGGAGGGAGGATTCGGTACTTGGCGACGACAAACAGCAAGAAAGGAAGAGGAAGAAGAAATCGCACTGCAAAAAAATAGGAGTGTCAAGTATTATTTTCATTCTCTCTCTGCAATTCAAATCTTTACCAACAATTCTTCTATATTATGTAAGGTAATCTTCTAATTTAATTGGTGAAAAATTGAAATCTAAGTTGTATTTGTT